GGGAGAAATCTACTGAGATAGTTTATCATTCCATTGAATCGTGATACGCCTTTTGCATCGGTTTGTGGAGGCGTTTCCACGATCGCTTTTACTTTTTCCGGGTCCGGTTTGATCCCTTCACTTGTAAGTACGTGACCGTGAAAGCTGACTTCCGATTGACAAAAGATTAGCTTGTCCTGTTTCAGCTTGAATCCGTCTCGTATACAACGCTGTAAAAAGCCTTCAAGCCGTCTATTGTGCCTATCTGCATTTTTAACAAAAATTAGAATGTCGTCCGCCACGCACAATACACCGGGTAAATCATCTACCGCTTGGAGGATTCGTTTCTGAAAAATTTCACTGGATACTTTCAAACCGAACGGCAGTCTTTTTCAACGATATCGCCCGAGTGGCGCGCCAAAAGTGGTCAAGTAGCTTGATCTATCGTCCAGCTCTAAGTGCCAAAACGCAGAGGCTAAACCCACCTTCGTGAAGTATCTTGCATTAGCTAATTCCGGCAGTATATCGTCAAAAATGGGTAGGGTGAGGTGCTCCCGTTTAATGGCTTCGGATCGATACATATTCTCAATTCTCCAGACTTTTCGTTCCAACCACAACCTGAGTCACCCAGTCCGTTGGTTCATGGACTTTATCCAGAACGCCCTTTGTGATAAGGTTATTCACTTTACGCGAAAATTCCTCTCCAACAGCAAGTGGGATCAGCCGTATTGGTAAAACAACGGGCTCGGCTGCGTCGTTTATGTGAATTGTCACAGTTCCTGGCAACTTTCCCAGTTTTCCGTCGAAAACAGCAGCATACTTTTTCAGGTAGTATTCAGTGTCTTTCAAACGTGATGAACAGATGAATAATCTCGTCTGGGTAGGGTCCAGTTTGGTATCGGGTACGCAATTTCTCGGCATTATGTTGACGGACGCACCAGAATCTAGTTGGAACGTTACTTCTTCCCCATTCACCAACATTTTTGCAAATATGCCTTTCCGTTTGGCCGGTAGTTGTACACCATTGACGCGATCAGCTGCTCGAACGTGACGTTCTAAAGTTGATTTTTTCTCCCCGAAACACTTTGCTGCAAAATGATTACGCTTTTTGCATTTATCACATGTTTTTCCCCAAGTAGGGCAGTTGCTTCTTCCCATAAGATGTATGCGGCTACAGAAACGGTAAGCAGCTATTGGATGTGTTCGTTCCGAAAGGGTATGGGTTCGATTCCAACCGCTGCCACCATGTCAAAAGTCAGTTCTTCAGGGATGCTCTCGATATATTTTATCTAGTCCACTGGACACGAATCACAGACGTCTATAGATAATCCTGAACCAATCAGATTGTTCGACGGGCAAAATTAAAGTCTTACGCTGACCAATCATAAAAACATAATAGATGCAGTAAAACAAACAACACTTTTCAACACAAGTGAAACCTGATCTAACTAAGCCAATTTCTTCACGACCCTAACTTACAACTTAAACCGTTTGTGATGCTTGCTTCGCTTTGAAACTTGCTATTCAGTACAAATCTTTGAGTGCGCTTTCCTCCTGTGCACGATATTTGTGCCACTCATTCCTGTGTTTTTGTCTCCTGACGCGAGCTAATACTCACCTTGGATGTGCAATAACACTGCGTTTTCACCTTTCGTCTACGAGTTCTCTTCGATTCTAAACACACTGTTAGCGGGTGCACCCTACCTCTTGACTCCCGCTGTCTCGTTACGAGTGTAAACCTTTTCCTGTAGGTTACGTTCTATAAACCGTTTGCCGAGCGTTGTCCGTCTTCTTACTTTTTCGGAGCAATATTCGTATTGTTCTTAACCGTATATAGCACGAGTTATCTAAGAATACCCCGGTACACAGGACGAATTTGTTTCGAGATTCACTTCCATCGTTCGCATTTACAATCAGAGGGATTATTAACGAATATTCTGACATGTTCACGTAACTACATGATTTTTTAACTGGGTAGCACACACCTATGGGCATTCTATACCGCAGTACGCCAACGGGCACTTGCAGTACATGTGAGGCTTCTGGTACGTTCAGATTAGTTGAACAATTGCGGTACATATTTAAAGATATTGAACGCTCTTCGAAACACTATCAGTGTATTTCATTATTGATTTATTTTACCTCAGCAGGATAACTAAATTCAGTTTTCAGACAAATTCTATCATGGATTTACCTTACCATTAGCACTACAACACATTCAGATGAACTTCGACAAAGAGGTGCAACAATTGACATTTGACACTGATTAAATCCGGACACCACAGTTAGGATGACCACACAAGTTTGATAGAATCGCAGTAAACAGTGGAATGTCACAGAAAACTTTGTGACCTGACCTGTGGAAAATAAAGTATTTCTGACGAAAACAGGAATCCGGATAGTTAACACGACAGGATGAAGAAAGTTGTTAAATACAAATAGACTCATTTTATCGCATCCTCGAAACGGAAACAACGATACTCCAAACACATTGACAACACGCTGATCGCGTGCAAGATATAGGCCAACTGGAATTAATTCACGAAGCATCAGATACAGACAGTTTAGTCGAACAAGGCTTCTAAGACCACTGTGACAGTCGTGCGAAATATGATGTGTAAATGAAACCGCACTGAAGACAAATCATGGGACCCAGAGCCTGACGAATACGGGACAGTGGTGTGACTAGCTGAGATCCAATCAACCATAGGAACACTGATATAAGAGTTTCAAAGCACGTACCAAACGGCAACAAATAGTCCTTCACACAAGGAAAGAACTGCGGCAGAACTATATATA